AGCACAAGGTGAGAGCGGGTAGCAGTGGCCTTGGGCTGCTGGTGCCTGGCCTGTGCTGAGTGTTAGAGACCAAGGAGAGGCTCCATCCGGGGCAACAGAAGGTTCCAGTGGCATGCTGGGTGAACCATGGGGCTGCACACAGGGGATTGGGGAGCAAGAACCCAGCCCAGGGATCAGAGAGCTGGTGGGGGAGGGGTGTGGCTGTAGGTGGAGGAGATGCTTGAGCAAAGGCCCTGGGGCAGGAAGGCAGGAGCTAGGGGTAGGCTTGGTGTCTGAAGGCCTGGAGGCTACAGCAGGGCCATGGGGAGGTGGTGGGGGCTCTGACTGGGTGTCTCTCCACCTGGATCTCTGCAAACATTGGAGTCTGGGGACCCCTTGTGCCTTAGTGGGCCCCCAAGTGTTCCTTCATGTCCCCCAGTGACCCACGTCTTTCCCTTATCCCGCGTCCATGGCTGTGGCCCTCACCTACTGACATGTTGTAGTGAAAGGTGGGCAGCTGTGTTCCTGAATGTCACTTGTCTCCTTGGGGAGCAGCTGGGCAGGGGGAGCCTTTGTTGCCTTGTACCCATGTATTGCTTGAATCTGTACAGTGTACATACTTTTTAAAAATTTCGTCTCAGAAGCAAGGGCTAGAAATTGAAGCCAGTTTGTCTCTGCTGAATATCTAAGGGTAAAAAGGATGTCCTTTCTGTAGTGAAAAGGGAGTATGAGATGAGCCGCATGCATGTGTGTGTTTACATGTGTGTCCCAGATCTTGTTAAGAGAGTAAATCAATCTAATAATTCCCTGGGCTACAGAGTAATTGATATTGATGGATCCCAGGGCCACCCAAAGCACTCAGTAATGTGATAAGGGCCCTGATGTAACAGGATTAAGGCCAGGGTGGCTGGGTGAGGTGCTGACTTCATCCTGATGTCATTTCCATGTGGGGAAATAAGCCATTCATCACGACTAACTTTTCCAGGAAGCAGCTTTGGAAAGTGCAGGTGCCCCCGGGTGGCCAAGAAGTCACCATGCAGGCCCTGGTGGGGTGCATGTGGGGCCCCAGCAGCACCGTGCACACCCGTTTGTCCCTGGGTGGGCAAGAGAAGCCCTGAGGCCCAGGCCCAGGCCCAGGCCCACAGCTTATCCAGGACTTGGCTAAGTGTTGGGCTGAATGTCCAACATTTTCACACTCTGGAAGGAATGTGAAACTTAAAGAAAACTTAAAACCTAGGCTGGCTCCTGGTGGCCTTTATGAAAATACAGCAGTTTGTGTGGTTCTGAGGTGCCTGCCTGTGCGGCCCCGACTCATGAGGCTGTCTCCTTGTAGGAGGACGTGTGAAGACCTGGAAGCGGCGATGGTTCATCCTGACGGACAACTGCCTCTATTACTTTGAATACACGACAGTAAGTAGGGTGAGCGGGTGCAGGGCTCTCCAGGACAGCCGAAGGGAGGCTGGTCTGTGCTTTCCTCCTGCAGGACAAGGAGCCCCGCGGGATCATCCCACTGGAGAACCTCAGCATCAGGGAGGTGGAAGACCCACGGAAACCCGTAAGCTGGCTTTCCCCAGAGCGCGCTCCCCACAGCCGGCCCGGCGGCCCAGCGCGGTGACGCCCTTCTGTCTGTCCCCGCCAGAACTGCTTCGAGCTCTATAACCCGAGCCACAAGGGGCAGGTCATCAAAGCCTGCAAGACCGAGGCGGACGGCCGAGTGGTGGAGGGGAACCACGTGGTGTACCGGATCTCCGCCCCCAGCCTCGAGGAGAAGGAGGAGTGGATGAAGTCCATCAGGTGCCGCCAAAGCACGGCGCGTGGGGTTGGAGTGCGCGTGGGCACACACTGCGTGCCCACCGTGCATGCCCTGGGGGGGCTGTCTGTCACGCGCCCGCTGTGGCTGCGTGCGTGTGCGCTGCGTGTACCTGTTGATTGAGCTGCCCCGGAGGACGGCCTGCACCCCTACCCACCTGACCAAGGTTTCCCCTCTTTTCCCAGAGCGAGCATCAGCAGAGACCCTTTCTATGACATGCTGGCCACAAGGAAAAGGAGGATTGCCAATAAAAAATAGTGCCTCCCTGGTCTGAACAGGTAAAAGTAAAAAACGAAGCCCCACAGCAGGAGGTGACCGGGAGGCCTCGCCACGACGTGCTGGACCTGAAGGCCTTTTCCTGAAGGCGCCCAGGAGGCACACCTGGGCGTGTTGCGCCGGAACCGCGCTCTGGGCTGGCTCGGCCACGCAGACCGCCCCAAGCCTTGTGTGCGCTGTGCCAGGACGGCGGCTGCTGGGAGCATCTCCCCGCTGACCTACCTGGCGCCTGGCAGGAACGCCCTTCTAGTGTCACCCAGCTGCGGCGGATGCAGGACTGACTTTCCAGCAATGGGAACCCATCTGTGGGTGGTGGTCGCCATTCTAGAAGCTGTGGTTTTATATCCAAACAGGAAAGGGAAACTATCACTTTTTTATCCTGAGCTTTTTTCTTAGATATATGGGATTATAGCTTTTATAGCCTTTTTATATTCTGAAATTATAATGAAAGATACTTTCTAACAGTAGTATTTTTAGAATGGCAGCTATAATTTAAACCCTGGAAACATGCGTATACTGTGCGCTGAGTTATACATACGCAAATACATGCAGCACCCAGAGGGAGGACACAGGGCGCACACAAGGCTGGCTGCTCCCGGACCCCTCAGCCCGTATCCTTGGCAGGCCTCTTGTCACCTCAGTTTGTGGCCCCACAGATGCTTTGTAAAAAGGCAAATGATTAAGAAGAAAATTAAGGTTTGAGACACTTACTGTAACTGCTGAATCCAGCACAGTCTATGCTGAACCACGTGGAACTGCTCACACTTAACTTTTTGACTCGTGAACAGCAGTTTTGGTATGGTTCAGCTGAACACGTAGCTCAGACTAGCGTTTTACCACTGTTTTCACTATGTAAAACCTTGTGGCAAAATGAATGTTCATGTCACTGACCTGATGATAGTTGACCAGATTTAATGTACAGACTTGTAAGTAACTAGAAACAATCTTACTTTATCTTCCGGCTTAGTCTCCCACTAGGAGGGAAGGAGCGGGCTGTGGGGTGAGAACGTGGCACGCAGGGTTTTCTGTAAATAGTTTAAACCCCCGCGTAGGTGGCAGTGGAGTGTGTGGAGCTTGTGAAGACCTGCGACCGCGGATTGCCAGGCCGCTGCTGACTTAGCAGGTGCTCCACGTGTTTGCGGAAGGCTGCATGTGGGCCCAGTGCATCAGAGCCAGCCCCAGGTGTGCAGCGGGCAAGGCTGGGCAGCGCTGTGCACTGGCACTTTGGCCAGAGTCAGATGCCTCTCTTTTTATCGGGAGCATTCTTTCTGCTGCCGGGACCCCCACGTACAATCGATCCATAGGGCCCCCTTATCAGTTGTGCTGTTGTGGTGGGGGTCTGGTCCCCCACAGAAGCCTGATAGGTCGTTCACTCCTGTACAGAATGAAAGCCCCTTCTGCAGTGTGGCTGAAGCAGGTGTAGCTGTTCTTGTGAGATGCTTTGATGCTGGGACTGAATGGCTGTGGGCCCCCGGCCTTGGTGCCACTGACCTTCATGTAGCTTTAAGTCGCACTAGACTCCGATGTGCATCAAACTGATTTTTTTTATTAATTCCCAAAGTCTAAGGCTTTGTCACTGTACCGATACCTCAAATTTGAAACTAGGTTTTAAGAAAGGCAGGTCATCATCCTTGAAATGCCTGACTGGTGTATATGCAACTCTGGCCTCCAGTCTTCCATGCAGACGCTGCCTGGACCATTGGCCAAATGCAGCTGCTGAGGACAGCTGCAGGTGCCCACCCCTCAGGCTGGCCCACACTTTCCGCAGCCCTGTATTTCAGGAGCGGAAGAACCATTCCCTTCCCGCCGCCCTTGTAAGACCCGGGTAAGACCTTGGGTATACAGGCTGTCTTTTGGGTCTGGCCTCAAAAAGTGGGATTGGGAGAATTTGCATAAGGAAACACCTGTGAGAAGTCTGTCTCCGGTGGTCTGAAGGAGCCTCACCTGATGGCCGTTTCCTGGGAACACTGAAGCAGCCATGGTGCTTATGGTGCTTAGACTGTGTAATTTGCCATCAGTATTCTGTGAAGTTATCCAAGTCCAGGTTTCTGACAGTATTACATGCAGGGCATCCAGCTGTCACCCTCCCAGCCCTCAGGCAGGCCTAGCCCAGAAAACCCCAAGGGCAGGTGCCAGAAGGGCTGGTTGCCTGAACCTCAGCATCCTTCTCCCCACCCCCACGTTTGTGCTCAGTGCTTGAATTGTTAGTTCCAACTCTGGCCAAAGACAAACTTTCCTCCAGAGACAAAGGGCAGAAGACCGCAGCTTCCCCAGCCCCAGTTACCATGTGCGGGGCAGCTGGACCAGACAAGCAACTAGGTCTTCAGGATCATGGAAGGTATCTGAGCAGTTTAATGTGGTACCAAACAGAGTCAAAGAGGAGCTATTTATAGATGAGGCAGCACTTAACGCTTCATATAAAGCAGTGCATATTTTTAAAGTTAAAAATGCATATATCTACATAGATGTGCTTTGCTGAGGTTAGGTCTGTTGTAGACCAGAAGCCACGCTGTGACTTCTCATTATTTTTTCTTAGAAAACATTTCTATTTACAGTAAATAGAGTTAATATGTAAATATTATACATACATATTGTTTTCTGGAGTGTGTTATTCAATGTATATATTCCCACAACTTGCATGAAGAAATGTCCTATATCAATACTTCGTTGTAAAGTGAATAGTAAAATTGGAGTGTATATGGTTCTCAAACTGCAAATACTATGTTCACTAAATAAAACACCTATTAAGACGTGTGTCTACGACTTGGTTCTTCTGAAATAGCTTCAGATCCAGCAGCTTGCTCCCCAACTTTCCCTCACCCAGTCTGGGGGTGAGCCAAAGCTTGAGCTATAGGAATTTTAAGAAATGAAGAGTAACAGGAAGAAGTCAGCAAGAGGTGTCAATGGGAAAATGGCAAAAAAATAGGACACAAAATGTTTAATTTGCTGCCATTTATATACTATATAAATTTTACATGCTGTATATTTACAGTGGGGCAAGTGCTTTTTTAATCTTTAAAAAAACAAAGATCAAACTTTAGACATCTCTGAACAACACAAACTGTATAAACCATACAGATTATTCAGATACAGACTGTATTAAATACAGTTGTCCCCACTCCCATCTCCTGATGCAGGACCAGTGAATTATAAGTGTATCACAGTTTGATAGCATATCCATATTAAAAATAAAATCACAGTATGATTTTGTCTGTAACTAGAAACTTTAAGGGACCAAGCTGACAACTCAGATGCCAATATCATAGTCAAGACAATAGACACTGTATAAAAAAGTGTTATGTAATAAAAACATACTGTAGGCTTTACAAATAATATTTGAATTATACATTCATAATGTAAATACTCGTCATAACTGGTAAATTGATTGGAATAGTTCCACAAAGTTCAAAAACAGAACTTGTCTATAAAATACATCTTCAAATCTTGAATACAACTAAAATATGAAGCAAATTAGTTTCTAGTATCAGACATTACAGAAAACAGACTGCTCTCAAAAGTCTGAGAGCGTGTGAATCTTTAAATAAGTCTTTAAATTAAATATACACACTGTCAGTTTGTACTTTTAATAATCCCACGGTTTCCCGGTTGGTCTTGCACCGGGTGTCTAACTTGGAGGAGCATTACATGGAATACGAGTGATCAACCTGAGTCTGTGATTAAGCAGCATTTGAGATGTTTTAGTCCAGGGCGTTATTTTCAATGTGATTTATATACACAGTATTTTACAGTGGTCAGCAGTTGTAGAAAGTGTTCATCCATTTGGAATAAGGGTAATTAAGAAAAGGTAAAAACTAAAAAAAGTTCTCCATGGTAAAATCTGTACAGTATTTACTAAAGAAGCACCACGCAGATTTGAACAAAGTTATTTTCTATAGTTTTAATTTAAACTGTGCTGGACATGGCTTCTGTGGAACACGGTGAATCTGAAAGACAAGAGGCGGCAGGGTTAGCACATCCCAGGGAGGGCGGCTGGACAGAAGGGCGCGAGCGTGGCGGGGCTCCTGCTGCCCACCACCCCACCACTCCACGGACTCTCCGGACCACTCTGCATGCTCCCCGGTCTTGCGGAAGAGGCTCTTCCTTAAACTGTGCCTCGGGCTCCCCCCACAGCAGAGGCGCCCTCTGCTGGACGACCACGCGCTCTACGGCTCCAAGCTGCCGCCACAGAGCAGCCCTCCCTCCCCGGGCTCCACTTCCTTAAGTTGCTTGTCTCCTTAGGACACATAGATACCACCTGCTAGTTAACTGCAAATTCATCTTCTGGAGACAATCCACTGACATTTAACATCCCTCCTACTGCCCGGAAGTGGCAAGTTTGGACAAAATTCCTTTTCAAGAGCAAAATGGCTCACTCTCCCCTTCCCCTCAGCATGTGCGGGCACAAACCGGAATTACCATGCTCAGGGCCCTGAATAAGCCTCCAGGAGTACATTACCTGGCACTCAAGGTTTCCACCTGCTTCAGAGCACCTGACCCACATTCAGACAGAGCCTCTGAAAGGGGAGGAGGTCTGGGTCTGCATGGGACCCGTGCCCCCGGCAGGCAGCCCTGGCAGTGCAGAGCCCAGGGGGAGCCCCAGGTCAGGGAGGCTGGCGGGGTGGGGGAAGCAGGCTTCCCTGCCCCTCAGATGCTCCTCCGATGGTGGCTGCTTCTGGCCCTTCCAACTTCCCTGCTCTGTGAGTGAGGAGCACAGCAGCTCGGCCTGCGCACAGGACACCCTCTCCCCAGCCAGCCCGCAGTCCAAGCACTGGCGGTCGGAAGGGGCTGCAGCCCTGGCTGGGGGAGCCTCCCACGCCACCTGCTGCAACGTGGTGCCTGCCCTCCAGCCCAAAGCCCCTTCACTTATGTCCCCCAAGGGCCTCTACAAACAATCAGGAAACTTTGTGTCAGGAGAACAGCTTACCATAAGTAGTGAATTTTGTGTTTTGCGGCCAAGTTTTCACCTAGAAAGCAGAGGTTAGGAAAGAAATTTTAATGATGGTTTTGCAAGATTCCTAGTGCCTGTGCTGCATGTGTACAGTGATCACACTTAGGATCCGTTCTCAGGAGCTGAACGTTTGCTGCCTGACATCAACCCTCCACACATGAGCAAACACACAGTCTCATAGCTACTTCCCCAACTGCTCGCTGAGACCAAGCTGATGTGACAATGGGGAGCCCTTCCCAGTGGAGCTGCCCCAACAGCCACGTCCCGATGGAAACATCTGGGGGCTGTGGGAGGAGCCAGACCTGCCCCCAAGACATGGCATCCCCCTGGAGTCCAGGACACAGCTGAGAAACGAGTAATGGATGTGCCTTCAGCTGCCTAGGGCAGGGATTGGCGGGCAGGGATCAACAGACTTTTTCCAAAAGAGGCCAGGTGACAAACACTTGCACTCTGGGGCCAGTCTCCTTACATCTACTTGGTGCTGTAAAAATGAGTCAGTTAGGCTGTGCTCCAAACACTGCTAGATGCCGAAATTTCAATTTCACATAATTGTCAACTGAAATGAAATCTCCTTTGGACTTTCCCAACCACTTAAAAATATTACAGCCTCTCCCAACTGACAGGCCACAAAGAGTCAGCAGTCCAGCTTTGTCCATGGGCTGCACTTTGCCAACCCCTGCTCTTGTCCACTGGCTCCTTTGTTACACCCACATCTGATCAGATCAGCTCCTTTCCAGGGTCAAAAATCACTGCAGCAAATCAGAAAGGAGGAGGGGTTGCTTTCAGCGAGATCAGAGAGTAGAAAGACCTGTGAAATCATGAGGGAAGATAGAGTTCTGCAAAGCAGGCAAGAATCCAAGACCCTGGTAGCCTGGAGTGACTCAGCTCCCAGGGGCCAGGACCCAGAGTACAGATGCCCCAAAGGCATCACTCTGCCAAAGGCTGACACTGTCGTTCCTAGTGACCCAATTCATCAGACTGAGCTTGAGGTTATACTCAGAATGCCAGAGGCTTAAGGATTCAGGAAAGAACATACTGCAAAAATATTTCTACCAAAGATGGCTTAGAAACCAAAGACGCACTCTCAGGTACTGGCCTAAGTCCCGCCAGTGTCAGCAGAGGTTGTGTGTGGCCCAGCCCGTGGAACAGGCCTGTCACAAATGCTAAGGGATCAGCGCTAAACAGCCACACGGCACAGTGGAGCCTCCCGTCCGGGCCTCTAGGCAGAGGGGCTCCTAGGGAATTGTACATCCATTTCAGGTTTTCTTTCTCAGTGCTAAACTTTTCCAAAAAATAAAAATAAAGTTCTATATTCTTAATTCCAAGTATCTCCTCTTACCCTGGACACAGTCAGACACACGGCACCTGTCATCCCTGCTTTCCATCCTCAAATGTTTGGTTTTCTCATGGAAACGTCCAACACCTTCCAGAGGTAGGCCACTGGTGAGAGAGAAGTCGCTCCCAGCTCTCCGGAAGTGGGCCCCAGTCTCGAAGCTGGTGGCCTTGGGGAAGGGCGACTGTGAATCTTTCACAAGGTCCTCTGATCTCCTCGAGTGTCTCTTCTTTTTCTTCTTTTTCTTTTTGTGCCTGTGGAGGTCGGCATCAGAGCACATTGCTGAGGGGTCTGAGTCCTGTGGGTGCCTGCAGAGAGTAAGCCAGAGCTCAATCCACGGCCCGACCGACTGCGTGGACAGCTGACCCTCCACGGCAGGCGCCCCAGGCAGAACACTTATCCAACTGAAAACGCCTGCTTTTCCTTGTAAGAACCTGTAAATCAAGGGTCACAAATTCCCCAGCCTCAGGTGCACCCACCACTGCCTCTGGCTGTGCTCCGGTGCTAAGGCTGCTGCCCAAGCACCAGAGGAAGGATTTTGCTAACTTTTCCTGAAACTAGTGGCTGAGGGAAAAGGCCCTTCAATGGGTGCCTCAGCTACAAAGGAGGAAGGGGGCGCAGGGGCTCAGGCTCCCGCCAGCAGTCGCTGTTGCTCTGCCCATGGCTTTCGGTAATCCTTCCCAGGTTTCAACTTTGAGACATCAAATGTATAGTATAAAATGCATAGTAATTCTGTTTGTGCTCATCCATCTCCTCAGGGATAAGTCACTTTCAAGATAGTCTCTGACCAATTTAGCTTTTTTAAAAATAGAAAAACAAATTTCCTAATTAGATTTCAAATTGAAACGTGAAGACAGAAAAAGCGACACAGGCTGCCCCATGGCAGCTGGTGCTATGTTTCAGGCCGCACTCCGGGCCACGGGCCACGGTGGCCTCCCGCCTCCTGCCTGCCCAGCCATCGCAGAGTGTGGAGAAAATACTAACAGATTTGAACATATAACCACATCTGATGGATATGAATTTTAACACCCATGGTGCAGTCAAGGGCCCCCAAGTGCTCACTTACGGACCGTCACACACTTGCTCTGGCAGGTGATAAAGCATTAACCAGAAATGGCCGTATCGTTTTGGAAAATGAGTTTAGGCATTTACAAAACCACAAAATAAGGCATGGCTTAAAAGTTGTGCTAAGTTTTAAAAATCTATAAAAACGGTGAAGCCTCAGAACCCAGACAGATGAGGAGGAGTCAAACAGTGTGCATGCCAGGGCCCTCGCGCCCTCACCTGGAACCTCGGTCCCGGTGTTTGTCTTTGGATCTCTTCTTCTTCTTTGACTTCTTATGCTTCTTTACTCGAGGCCCTTCTGAAGGGTCCTCCTGCAGGCGGCCCCAGTGGTCATCATTATTCTCTGCACTACATTTCCGTTTCCGTGACCGCATGCTTTCGTGCTCAGGAACCCGATGGGCGAGGTCGCAGCCGCTGTCCTCAGCCATAGGTGCCAGCTTGTGGGTGCATTGCTCGAGGAACAGGAGGGCAGGCGGCAGGCCTGCTCGGGGGCTGCTGGAATGGTGCTGGCCCTTCTCTTTGGCAACCAGCTCATACCCCTTCCTGCCTTTGTGATAGTCCTTGTTTGGTCGGCCACTGCATGGCCTGCCTCTGTCATACTCTTGGTACCCATGGAAGGACTTCCAGTCCCGCAGCTCCCGTGCCACATTGGGGGTGTACCTGCCATGGGAGCGCTGGCCTCTATCCCACTGCATCTTCTCTGGGTAATACTTCTCCTGGCCCCAGGAGTGCTCGCTTTCCAAGTGGTGGTATCGGCTCCAGTCCTGGTCTGACCTGTTCCGGTTTCGAGAGTGGTGGTGGCCGGATCTCACCGGGGACCTGCTGTGCCCCCTCACGGACAAGGGCTGCTTCCGGGGCTGGCGGTCCTTGGTCTTGCTCCGGCCGTCCCAGGCCCGCTCCTCATTGGAGCAGTGGTCTCTTCGGTTGCGGTAATGCCCTCGGTCAACCTTTCTGAGACTGATTTTCTCCTTAACTGGAGAGCGGTCCCGAACTTTCTGCCCAGCCTTAATTTCTTCCCATCCTTCGCTGGGACTCTGTTCACGGCCTGCTTCCAGATGACTTTCTGTGATCTTGTCCAACTGAGGAGCAGGCAGCTCAGCTGGAGGTGCACCCACACCCTCAGGAAGGGCCTCCACATCCACGGACGTGTCTTGGCTAATGTAGACTACGAGCTCGTGCTCACAGTCACCCTTGGCTCGTGCTGGGGACCTTGGACTCAAATTCCCTCCCGTTTCCACTGCTGCCAAGCCCTGTGGACTCTCCATTAACATCCCTGTCACGGCTGTGGCTGGTGGGCTCTGATCGTTTGTTAGATTCGCAGACTCACACAGTTTAGAAAGTTGGTCGCCCCCCACAGCACTCTTGTTGGTGCTGCAAAGACTGCTGATACTGGGCAAAGACTCTTCAGGTTTTGCTGAAATATTTTCAGAAACTTCTTCTTTGGTAGATTTAATGCTGGGGTCTGAGGGTGCCAAAGCCTTTTTCAGTTTGCTACTAAGGCTCGTGATGGCATCCAGTCCCTCCTGGGACCCAGGGGCAGGGCCGCCAGCCTCAGGTGCTGCTTCAGGACCCTCCGGGGCGCTTCCCTCGGTCCCAGGTGCACTGCAGCCCCACCAAAACAAGAGAGAAAACAAAGCATTCATTTGGTTGCTTCACAGCTCAGGGACAAATACTGAATTTACTAAAACCATTCACTAAATATTTTTGTCTTTAACATATCTGGTTGGAACCTGATACATTAGGTTGATACAACCAGGTTGGAACCTGGTTCATTTTTGAAAACTTCAAATTTTCTCTTTCCCTCCCATAAAATTTTACATCAAGTCTGTCTCCTATCCCATTTTCAGCAACAGTAACTCCATGGTGCTGAGTTCTTTGTTTTCAGATGTACTTCTAATTCCTCTTAGTAATAATTAAGTCTGAAAAAGCAAGAAAGTCACATGACTGGAGACCACTCCTCTTCCTCTGGACCCCTTTTCTCTGAATTCTCCAAGAGCCTCAGAGGTAGAGTAACCACATCCAAACAGAGCCAAAAGCTCCTTAAATTACTTATAAGCTATGAGGACTCAGAGGCTTTAGAGAAACTTGTATAGGAAATGATTGCTGTAGAGCTTGTCATGCGTTTTCGAGGTTAATGAAACCTGCCAGAAAACAATAAAAACCCTTGAGTGGCCCCCACTCTTTAGAAGGAAAATATCTAGGGGAAGAACCCGTACAAAGTCAATACAGACAAGTTACCCAGTGCATGGAACTGAGATGGTGAGTTAGCACGTTAGTGTGTGCTACAATGCGTGCGTGGTTTGGTTTATACAACTGCCTGTGCTGATTCTCATGCATGTGACATCTGAGGACAAACTGAGCTCGGTGAGGAAAGAAACAGAAGGAAAGTCATGCAGGTGACTGAGGGGTCAAGCTGTCCCATCTTCAAGGTAAAGCAGAATGATCAGTCTTTAAATCCTACAGGATTTACTCCATTCCATTTTAATAATCAGACCTTCCTAACTGTTCTCAATGAGAGCACATCCACCTGCCAGGGGCCAGTCTGAAAGGTGGGATGCATTTTTGGGGAGCCCCTACCACTTGGAGGCAGGGGCAAGGCAGCCAGGCCTGCCTAAGAATTAAGTGCCCCACATCCCACATGCTGACATTCATGTTGGTGAGAACCTGTTATCACTAACAGTCTTTATGGATTAGATTTTCCAGGAACACAATTACTGTGTCAATCAAGGGGTGGTCAGATGGACCACAAGTTGCCCACCACAGGACATTACACCCCCATGGCAAAGGTGTGCGTGACAGTGGCTCAGACATCAGGCCTCTCTCCAAACCGTCATGGCTACTGTGCTGCACATCTCATCCTAGGCAGTCTTGCTTGGGTGTCCCGGTGTCTACGTGCTGGAAGGACAGCTGTTCTGAGCTCCTGTCTTTCTATTCCCATTACATTACTGTTTCGTGAATGCACTGATTTTTTTTTTCTAAAAAATTAAGTGTGGAGGCAGACTGTCTTATCTATGCATTTAATTTTAGAATTCTAGAGAGGACATAAAATATTTGTTACTTGATAGAGCTGAGAACCCCTGACCTAGAACCTCAATACATCTTCATACTTTTGTCATTTAAAGGATCAAATGAGACAGAGCTAGGCATCCCCGACCAGATGTAAGGCCTTGCAGGAGAATAAGTGGTGAGCTTGAGGACATCAGGTTTTCCTGCACTACCAGCCCCTGAAGCATTTTTCTGTACTTTTCTAAAAGGTAAATGAGCAAAGTCTCTATATTGTTATTCAAATCACCCTCAGATTCAAGATGCTTATTATAAGATTTGTTGAGTTAAAACAGCAGCACGGGCTCATTCCAATTTCCTGCCTCGCAGCTTCATTCCTGTTTATTTTACCTTGTTTCCTCTGTCAAGACTTTCACTTTGTTGCCAAGCTTGAAGTTCTCTAAGATTTTGTCCTCTGGGAGTGGCGGCAAAGGGGCAGGCATCAGCTGCAACAAAACACAAAGATGTTCCAGCCCCCATGACCGCCGCGCGCCTCCCGACACCCAGCCAGTGTGTGGCCCGGTGTGAGAGGGGCAGCAGAGCCTGCCTCCACTCCCACCCCGGCCCCAGCCCCGGCCCGGGCCCTCACTCACCTTCCCAGGCAGACCATTTGCCTTGGAGAAGGGATTTCCTAAGTGCAGAGCAGGCTGGACCTGGCAACTGGCCCCATCAAACGGCAGACCAGTTTCTTTCAGGTCACTGTCTGTACTGTTAGCACCATTTAGAGTAACAGTTTCTTGGAGCTCGTGCTGAGTGGCCTCGTTCTCGCTGGCGTCCTGAAGAGAAGCAGGCAAGCTATCAACGGCGCCTACACCGTTCTCCTTGCCTAGGCCCCTTGCCTCCTCGTCAGACTCTTCCGATGACTCGGCACCATAAGGGACCAGGACTCCTGGGTTCAGCTTGGACTTGCCGTTCATCACTGGCTTGGAACAGGACTCGCTCAGGGTAACCTGCTTTGTTACTTTACTAGAAACTGACGTTGCAGATGCACTCGAGGTAGACTGTATCGCAGAAGGACTGGTGATGGTAGCAGAGGGAACTGGCTTGTTCGGGTTCTCTAAAGCATTGACATGTAGGTTAGGCTGAGTCTGAGCTTGGCGAACAGGTAACTTGTTGTGAATACTGATCGTGATTTTTTGTTTCTTGGGATGTTCTGGAAGAACTGAGGACCTGTTCACTGCCCAGTTTTGAACAGAAGTTGAAGCATTAACAGGACCAGCCCTGTTAACACTGGAGTTTCCATTAGAACTCGATATGGAGCTGCTTGGCGTTTCTTTCAATGGTCCGGTCCCATTTAAGTGAGGTGGGTTCTGGAAGGAAGAAAACCAGAGCCGGTGAGAACCCCCAGAACAGTCACAGACACAGATTCCTTTCTGGCTGGGGGCCCATCCTTGTTGGTTGTCTTTTTCTTTTCACAAATAACAAATTTCACACACCCAGAAACACCACCTCCTCTTATTGGCTCCCGCCCACTGTAAACCTTCCACAGGTCATTGTTTCCCGGTAATTAACCAACAAATAGGAACCACTATTTTTGTCAACCCCAGACCAAATTCTTTCTGCTTCAACAGAAATTAATGGGCCCCTCAGCACAGAGTCACACATATTCTCCTTGGCCGGGCTCTGGGGGCCCACCGCTATCCAGCAGGGAATGACGACAGACCCTGGGAGCTGGGGAGCTGCTGTGGGCACCACCCCCTCCCCTACCTGTGTGGTTATCTTGCTCCAGGTTCTAGGACATATGGTGGGGTTGCAGTCTGATGGTCATGCATGGAATCTGGTTCACAGACTTTTGTCTACCCTTACAATGTTTTCTTAAATACCTGAATTAATTGCTATCCCAACATTGGAAGGTTTCATGTGAAGAAAGAAAAAAAAAACCTTGAAAAAATAGCAGCCACCCCTCCACCCAGGAAACAAGCACTTCCACTGGCCAGTGTCCTGATGTCACTATTAAGCAGAGGCCCTTCAGGAGCCCACTGCCTCCCAGCACACAAGGGCATTAGATTTGTGACTTCTGCTATAATCCCAACACTGCTCAATGTCCATAAAAACAGCATACAATTAGACAGTGTATCTGCCGATTCGAAATCAAATTCAAACAGAAAGGCTGTTAAAACACTACAACACAGATGACAGAGGTGATTCTAGGCTGTCCTCAATCGCAACACGTAATTCTAGCAAAAGTGAGGCCTTGACTTCATGAAGACAGAGTCCCCTGTAGCCCAGGCACACTGTCCATCCCCTAGGAGGCCTGTGGGGAGCGGGACCCAGCCTTGTTGGAAAGTGGACAGAAAATGCCATTCCTGGAAAGGCTAATGGGACATAATGAAAGTGTTCTTTTTGTAAAAGGGTCCCCCCCTTCCTGGAGTCAAGCACTAATCAAGAACTCCTAAATAGTTAAACCCACTAAACACATGAAAGTCCAAGGTGGGAGCTAAAATCTCTATTTTTTTTAAATGTACTTTTACCCAGACTTTCTTCTTAATCACTATAGTCCTACTCTGAGATTTTCTGTGTATTTGAAATACTTTGTAATAAATGACTTGAATAAACTATTCTGACAAGAACTTCCATTGTACACAAGGACACGGCAGCTACTGCAGTTTGAATCTGAGGGTATGGACGATGTGCTTTACAAAACGCACCTAACGATCCCCTGCTAGCCACAGGATGTTACCTTCATCACATGTGACGGAAGCTGTGGTCCGATAAACCCTGATGCAGCCTGCTTGTTGTTGACCACTCGCTGACTGATGGCTGGGCGGGGGGAGGCCTTGCCGAGGCACTGGGTGGAACGAGTAAGTTCACCCCCATTCTTCACATCGTGGGACCTGAGGACAGAGAGTGACAGTGTTTGGGGTTACAAGGGACATACATCTCCTTCTGGGAGGATCTCTGGGGGCCCCTCAGACAGCAGGCCGCCATGCTGCCAAGGACAGAGCTATGCTGGAGCCCACTGGGTCTAGGCTGCTGTCAGGCGCTCACATGGGGCCTCCGGGCAGATGTCTCCCAAGGATGACACTGTCTGAATGTTATTTTTCTTTCTGTTTATACTTTTAAAATTATACATACATGCCATTGTAGGAAATCTGTAACATCCAAAAAAGTTAGAAACAAAAACACTATGCTTCCTCCCACCCTTTAGAGGCATCTATTATTCAGACTTAGTGGATAATCCTACAGGCTTTAGCCTGTACTGTTTTTTTTAATACCAGTGTGTATGTAAAATTTCAAACTGCTTTCTCTCCATATATACTTGAGCACTTTCTCATAGCATTAAAAAAAGCTTCACAGACATAATTTTTAACAGCTGCATAATATTTCAACATATGGATATGCTACAACTTATATAATCATTCCACTATTGGAATCTAAGTTGGAAATCTAAGGATATTCTTAATTTTCTGCTATTACAAATGAATACCCTAGAGTATACATCAGATTTTTTCCAAAGCCACACATTTCCTGAATGGAATTTAGCAAGTCAGAGTATGCAGCTCCGAAGGAGGGAAATGAGTATGGCTGTCACCCAGGAAGGTGACTGGCTGCCTGTGCTCAGTAGTTGTAGAGTAGCCACATCAGGTGCTCAGACCCCCTTCTGAGGTCTCCACGACCCATGGGGAGGGTCCTCCTGTGCGCTGCCAGCAGCAGAAGCCTGCCCTCCTCCACAATCACTGTGCCTTCTTCTGCATGTCACTGTTAACCTTCTAAACAGCTGGGAGCTAAATCAAACTCATGATCCACACTTGGAAACTACCTTCTCATGCTCTCAGAGTCACTCAGCTGCTGTTGCTATAACACAACAAAACAATATTCAATTTAAATATATTGGTAAGATGAAGAGAAATAACATAACAGAAAATTTGAAAATTTGTTTTCCAACAATACCTGATATAAAAGAGGACATAAGCTTGTTGATTCAGTACCGATCTAATATCACTGGTAGATACAGTGGAGTCATTCATTTGATACCAAAGGCCATTGCTAGCCTGCAGAGAGTGCCAATGAAAGAGATACTAGATGTAATTAGGCAAATAGGGAACACCAATAATAGAACTGTAAGACAAATGGCTTTCACATTTTAACTGTAAAAATCTCCCACCTTTCCCCCCAAGAATACCAGGGCTATTTTACAGTGTACTGAAACAACAGTTACTAGCAAAATGTGCACAGCTTACTTTAATGTAGCAGAAGTAATGGCCAGCATGGCAATTAAAACCACTGTGTACCAGTACTGCATACAAAACGTAAATAATTGGTTCTCCATTTGATTGAGACATGTATGGTCTAACATCAAGATACTCAGGATATTTCACATCCTAAACAGAAATAGAAAGAGGAGAAAGGATCATTGTTGCAGGCATAGACCGTTCCACAGTCAGGCATGGGGTGCTTAGGTGCACTGCAGGGCAGGAGACCCCTATGAGGAAATCCACCAAATGCTATACTCTATGTTTTAGCAGAAACCTACCATAATGACCCACATTTCAAAAAGATCTGGTTAACCTGGAGCAGATCTTAGTCTAAGCATATTTAGTGCATTCCACTATGTCCTTTATGTCCTTTAAACAAACAAGGATCCACCTTAAGTGAATTCTTCAAATTCATCAAAGGATTTGTCATTGTAACACAATGACAACTCTGGACTTCAGTCATCAGTTATTTTCATTTTTAATAATTTAGGAATGGATTGTTTCTTTATCATTATGTGCTACTAAATTTTCAACCACTTTCAATTTTCAGAAAGTGGGAAGAAAATGGGAAAATTCAGGGCACTACCAATCAGTAAACAAACTGACAAGAAGTGAACTTTGACAGAACAGTGGCAAGATCAACAGGGAAGTTCTCAGTGGGTTTCAATGCCACAGGCTCTCCCGTATCCACTCATTACCTCCCCTGACTATGAAGCCCTAAGGCAGATAAGACGTACCAGTTTTATCATCAGGAAGTCTAACCAGCTAAAGGATATAGAAAAAAACATACTACGAGATGCTAGAAGAACTTAGAAAATATGATAACAAAACTGTCCAATTTGGTCATGTATGACCCATAAACGCTATCGATACTTAAGCTTTGAAAGGTTCAACACACAAGGTCATTAATACTATTACCTACATACCTTGGTAATTTTTCCACCAGTAAAATTTGCAAAACGTTTCAGAGAAAGTGTAAGAACATTAGAGGATCTATGAATAGTAAGCCTCTTTGAAGCTGGAACCATCTTTTTACACCTTGAAATAAACAGAAACAGAAGATTAAAGAGATTAATATGTACTTTTTTTGTATTAGTCTTTCCCTTATTTCTCTGCAACATTCTAAATTATGTTTTCAAAAGGATACTAGAAGGGAAACGCCACCCCTTCTTAGCCAACAGTAAACATGTTAAAATATAAAATACAGAGGAAAATTGCTTAATGAGCATGAGAGAAAAGGAAGCCACAACAATTCAGACACACCAAGCCACAAAGGTCATTATTCATTTTTAAATCAGGTTAATACAAGTTTCTCTCAATTCAAAACAAACTAATCTGGGGGGGGGGGGACTGAAATTTTTAGATTTAAATCTAAAACTGTAAAAACTTAAATCTGAAAAACTAATCGATTTTTCAGGCTTAAATAATTCTGTGAAAACAAAGCCTACTGAAATATAAGAGGAAGAAAAGTAAAAATTAAAACTATCCAAGTTTAAAACAAAGGAGAAATCTCTATGGTCTTAGAAAGAAGGGAGCCTTCCTCTCCACAAAATGAATAGTTGATAAATAATAATATTACCTATATCACCCCTGATTAAAAGATGAAAAGCTACTTAAAACAAGTGAAACAGTACTTTCTTAAAATAGCCTCTCTTGACCTCATGGGGAGACATATTAGTAACTAATCAAAATTACATTTCCAGCAGATAGCACCCCAAATCCTGGGCACAACCATAGGGAGAAAGAGCCATCACTCCTCTAGGAAGTCTGGCCCTCCCACTCCATGAAAACCCATTTATAGCAGGAGAGTCGATGAAAATGCTGCTGTTCAACACAGACATGTCACCCCAGGCTGCACCCCCCCTGCCCAGCAGCACTACGCTGCCATGTGCGAGACCCAACGTCCCCCGGGGGCACTGCGGCATGAGGTGCACAGCCCTGAGGAGCATAAACACTAGATACTGTGGGCTCTGGCCCATGGAGAATAGACACCCCATGTCTTCCCAGATGGCATGGGAAGCTAAAGGGAATCGTAGGGCTTCTTCAGACACTCAGAACTTTCAAACCAGGCCTCCCGCCACCACACTGTGGCCCCAGCACTGTCAGTCATACTTGCTGCACTTGTATGAGTTGTTTCCATCAAGCTGCTCCAGCTTCACAAACTGCTCCAAAGCCTTGGTAACACTCTGAGCAGCCTGGGAAGAGAAGAGCATCAACACTACATTACCACTCACTGCCACTTGTTCAAAAAAAGAAAAAGGAAAACTCAAAGGTATAAAAGCAAAGGTGAATTTTTATTTAAAAAGAAAATTTTCTTTTACTATAATGTTCACTTTTATACATGTACACATCAAATCATTACCTGCCCCTCAGTTAAAAATGAGCAGATTAAAGTGAGCAAAACCATGTGAAAAGGTTGCTTGCTGCAACATTATTTAAAATAGCATAAAACTGGAAACAAACCAATTATCTGCCAGCAAGGAAGCAGGCATGAAAACCATGCTCTCTCCACTCACTGGACCACCACTGCTAAAGTACACAGGTCCCCAAGCAGAATTCAATGAAAATAGCAAGTAGCCAAACAGACTCATGGAATAATCCCATTTTTATAAACAGTAAATAATATGTTCTGGAATGGTTTTTACCAAACTGTTAACAAGAGTTCATTCTGAGGGATGGGATCTTACGTATTTGGATCTACAATGATTCTCACTTTTATCTGGAGCACACATTACATTTGCAATCAACAAAACAAAGGCTTAAAAACAACAAAAAATAAGAGTCTAGAAAATGCAAGCAGCAAAACAGTTTCTCAATAACAACCATCTAAATTTGTTTAACATGAGCAACTGAATCTGGTTATATTAAGATTTATCAAATGAAAAGTCACAGGATAATGAAAAGATAATTTCAAATTTCTTCTGATGCTTACTACCAAGCTTAAGGGATCAGCTCTAAATAAAGTCTTAGCATATTAAATGTTTCAATTCTCTAACAAGCATAGTCTAAATTAAGAGTGAATCGTAAATAAAATTATGTGAAGTATGTCTGATTTTTTAACTATCGTAATTACCATGCTTACCTTTATCTCTAATGTTATATCAAGATATGGATCAAACGTATCAGAAACACCTTTGCAATTTAAACATTTGACTGAAATAAGAACAAAATGCAAAGGATAAGCAAAGTGTAGTCAGTACAGCAATACCAATGACTGAAATTGCAGAACACAAAAGTACTATTTCAAAAAAAAATACATTTTTCTTCCATCAGATTAGGCAAAAAATTTTAACATTACCCAGTGTGAGTCAGTTTCATGAATTCAGCTTACATATACTGTTGGTTGAAATATAAACTGGAATAATCTTTTGGAAGGACAATCTGGCAGTAGCAAAGTTTAAAATATACCCTTTGATGCAGGAATGCTAATTCTAATGCTGATACTAAAGATTTATCCTACCTATACACTTTTACATGAACATAAAGGTGTGTGTTCAATGAAACACTGATGGTAATAGCAAAAAAATTCAGAAACAACCTAAATATCCATTGATAGGGAACTAAAATAAATGGAATACCACTGCAACTGTGAAACTGTGTTAGACCTGTATGTGCTGAAATGCGAAATAATTTCTAATATTAAGAGATAAACCTAGTAATGTTCCCAGTCTGTTCATGCACAGGAACTCCTGGAAGGATGTATTACAAACTGGGACAGGGGCTGCCTTTGAGGGGGCATGTCTGGACTGGATAGGTGACACACTTTCCATTATTAACCCTTTCCTACTGTGTACATTTTTTAAACCACATACATGTATCACTTTATCAACTTTTAAACAGAAGTTTACCTCTAGATCTTAGGTACCCTCCAAATATCTGACAAACGAGCGTGGTAGCCTGGGTAGGTCTGTCTAATCTGAAAAAGTCAAATGGTGATGTTAGAGAAGAGTTCACAAAATTACGGATGCTATGACAAAATTTAAAAGTATGTACATCTAGAAAAGAAAAACAATTCAAATAGAAGAGCCACAAAATAAAATGACATCAGCATGTGTGGCAGCCAGAGGAGAAGTCTTGCCTGCTGAGAACACAGGGAGGTGTGAGGAGAGGCAGGATGGCTTTATTAACAAGGGACTTTGAAATTAAGGCAGGAACTTGGCCCTGAAGCAAGGATTAAGAGGAAGATGCTCCAAAATAGGCCACAGCACTGGGTGTGAGGCCCGGCTACTGAGGCAGGGAATGCAGTGTCCCTCTGCTCGGCGGCCAGGCCTCATTTGGAGGGCAAGATTCCGGCTGAGCAGTGCTGGTGGCACTGGGAATGGTGCAGGAGATTTACCAGGTGTGTTGGGGCAAGAGCAAGTGGGTTAGGACTCACTATCTAATTGTTTTTTCCTTCTTCCTCTTGTTTGCATTCAGATTTTAGGGAAAAAACTACTGGAATTGGTAACTGACTAGAGTGAGAAAGACACAGAGGATGAAGATCAACAGAAAATTTCAGGCACAACTAGTAAGTGGCTGCTTTGGATCTGCAGAGGAATGCTCAATATCTGAATTAAATAGTGGCAAAACCAATATTCATTTCCTGACATATATAATCAAATCCAAATTGTTACAGTAAGCATACCTTTTAATTTTAACCATATACATGCAAAATTATACTATAAAATTCTAATTTTTGTTATACAAATTATAATATTGGTTATAAGATTATAACCAACAATGCAAATCACTCAAGGAAGATGCAGTGGAAGGTGAAGGTGAAGGTCAACATACAGCTCTGTATATTTATTTCAGGCAAAACTCAACCCTCATAAGCCAGCCATGCAAAGGGAAGAAAGGACCAATGCTTTGTTGTGCTTACATATTGCTGCCGTTCAAGCAGGCCTTGTGCATGGCATCAACAGTGTACTGAAGGAACTCGTGGGCATCCTCTTGGCTTCCAAAGCGGAAGTGCCTAGCTATGCCTATAAAGTTAAAGGAAAGACAAAGCTTTACCATCACACGTGGTACGCCCAGCATGTACCCCCAAAAGTTATATCTTATGACAATCTGTTGGTTAGAAAACACCTGGTAATTATTTTATGAGGAAATAGCACCAACACAAGCCACCTGAGAACAGCTAGGACCATGACCTTCGAACAATAAAAGCGCCCACATGGGCTAGAGTTTCTGAGAGCCCAGAGACTCTACATCTTCAACAAGTCAATAAAATTATACTTGAATAAATTCAACTTTGGCTGTATTGTCTGAAAAATTTGTCCAAAATGTTATGTTCGTGCACACTCTTAAATGTGGTGCTAGATCTCCCTAAGAGAATCCATACAAAACATGTATGCCCAAACCTATCTAAATCCTGTTCCCAAAACCTGCAGAACATATCCTCAGGTGACAGTAACATTTCAGTTCAATTTCTCACTAAACAAGCTGCAAGACAAGTTTATAAACAAAGACATAATAATAAACATAACACAAAAGTATAAAAAATAGCACAATAAAACATTATAGAATTTCATGTATATGTATTTATGAATATATGTAAATAAATATTAGTTTGAATCACATGAAATTGCCAATATTCCACCAGTTCTGACATACAAAAATGGCAATCTCATGATTCAATGTATGTGGGGCATGCATGTTTGTAGCTGTATGTATATACAAGCACACAGCAGTTTCTTAAAGACTAGCTTTAAAAATATTAATCATTCCTGTCATATACATAATTAAACAAACAAAATCACCCCTAGCAAAAATTTTTCCAGGATCCAATGTTTAAAATTTTTTTGCATTGTTTCCTCTGACCTGTGAATGTCAAGGGCCAATATAATACCTCTAATCTTCAGCAGCTTTTTAGGAGAAGGATTATATATTTTTGCTGTATAATTATCCATCTCTATAATTACTCAGCTAGATACCAGATTAAGAATTAGGTTATTTTTCTTTTCATGCAATTTTTTTATTCCAACTCAGTTAATTAAGATGATGTAAAAGTTTCCTGCAAAATATTTCATGCAACTGAACAGAATCATTACAATGCAAAAAAACAACTCGAAAGTCATTTAGAAATTAAAACTTAAAAATAATAAAAATTAAATAGAAAAAGTGTAATTCATCCAGAAACTTGCTAAGTAATGAGTATGAATTTTTCTTTACGAGTATAATGAACTATTTTGATAACTTCTGTTACTATGAACAGTGTGATATTCAATTAATAAAATTAACTCAGAACTATTTAAGGAAACCTGTGGGACAATATTAGAACAAATATTACTCAGCAAAGAAATCCAAGTACCTGAGGAAAAAAAAAAATCACTGTAAAACTTATCAATGATTTTATTAACTGAGTCAAAAAACGTTTTAATTTGCTTATATTAAGCTGAGTACTTTTTAATTACATTGTCATCTTTTGTTTTAAAGTTTCAAAATGTGTTTACATAGTAAATGTTTTAGTAAAAATTTGTGACTGATGACATGTCCATGTATGATGAAATAAGTCTATTTACTGTAATACACCAGGGGTATATCTTTTGTCAGTTAAGCCATTTAGACCAATTAGCTAATAGATACTGACAAATGACTATAGACAGTACTTACGTCGCATCTCATTAATGACAAACATCGGTTTAATAACATCCCCAGGATTGCTGAGTGCCTGGGTGATATGTGTTTGCATTGTACACATCATACAAAATCCTTCTGCATGACCTGAAAGACAACAGATGATAATCCTCCAAATTAGGAAAATATGACTTTTATACACATCAAGGAATATAAATAAGGGGCAGACTCCGGAAATGAAATGACAGTAACAGCTACTGTGTGTCACACACTAAGCTACACACTTTTACTGTCATTCCATTCTCCAACAAACCTAACTAAGTGGTAAGCATATATTTGCTCTATTTTACAACAGAGGAAACAGGCTCAGAGTTAAAAATTTGCTCACTGTCAAATAGCTATTAAATGGCAGACACATAACGGGACTCAAACCATTCTCTTCTAATTTCGAAGCCCATGCTCTTAATTATGCTTTATACTGGAAAAATAAGAATCTTTTTCTTATACTACCATTTGTCTCAAACAGTAAAAGAATGTCTCCAATACCAGGGGTCCAAAATCTCTGTAAATATTCTGACTTTGTTGTCCACATACAATGGTCTCTTCTTTTTTTTTTCAAACATCATTTAAAAAATGTGAAAACCATTCTTAGTGACTAAGTGGCACTACTAGCATCTACTGAGTAGAGGCCATGAATATGGCTAACATCCTACAAAAAGCATAGGACATCCTCCACAACAGAGAATCATCTGATCCCAAATGTCAGTTATACTGAAGTAGAAACTTTGCCTTAAACTAAAAACTGCTCAGAACCTGCCTAACAAAGCTTTAAAAGCCTCAAAAGCTCCAAGCTATTTCTAATTAACATAGGAAAGCTCAGAATAGAGCTCAAAAATATTTATAGGAAATAAGAAAATTCAGTACCCAGTAACAAAATCCTAATCTAAGAGTACAAAGTATGTATATATTCAGGAATGACCAGTAATGAGAAAATAAACAGAAATGACACAGTTAATAGAATCAAAAGACAAAGGCATCATACATAATTCCTATGTTCAAGGAACCAGTAGAATAAAGCAAGCACATGTTAAGAATAGACATGAAAATAGATTAAAATCTATTTTACATATGTAAAGCAGAATCTCTGAGATGAAAAACATACCAGGTGGGACTTAGATTAGACACACATAAGATTAGTGAACTTGAACACTTGCCAACAGAAATTATGCACTGTGAAATACAGAAAGAAAACTCAAAACAAAACAAAAAAAAAAGGTAAGTGATTATCAGTGAGTTATGGTATTATTTCAAAACTGTCCCAAATACACATGTCATTGGAGCCTGAAGGCAAAGGGATAGAACTAATTTTTCAAGAAATAATGATTGTCTACAAAGGGATGGCATAGCGGAGTTTTTTTTAGAGTAAAGGAACAATTTTGTACACTGAGCTAGTGGTTTACATTTACATATACCTGTGTTAAAATTCACAGAAGTGTACAAAAAAGTTGACTTTATTTTAATTATAAAAGATCTGTTTTAATGACAGTTATATGAATTTGAAACAATAAACAACAAAAAATTAAGAATCTCAACAAACCTCAGACAAAAGAAACATGAAGAAAACTATACAAGGGAACACTCAGATTGTTTAAAACAGTGATAAAAATAAAATCTTAAAAGCAGTTAGAAATAACATGTTATAGGAACAAAAGTAAAACTGACAACAGAATTCTGTAAGAAACAATGTAAGAGAGAAGACAGTGGGTAACATCTTTCAGATGCTTATTAAAAGAAAAATGTCAACATACAAGTCTGTATCTTATGACAGTATCTTTCAAAAACAAAGACGAGACTTCCACTCCCGGAAAGATGGAGTACAGGTACTTTTCCCTACTCCTCCCACAAAGTACAACAAAAATCCTGGACATTGTATATAAAACGAATGTAAGAATGCTGTGAAAGGTAGGGAGAAAAAGATAAGCTCATGACTTTAGAACCCAGAGAATGACACAGTGGTGAGATCCCTGGGTTTTCTTAGTGCCTCATATATTCCAGACTTGGAGCTGAAGAAGCAACAACCTGGAAAGAAACACATGGAGAGAACAAAGCCCCAATGAAAGGCTGCTCTTCTAAGCCAAAGGACCAAGAAAGGGGCAGCCTAGCAGCACAAAATACTCTTAGACAATAATCGCTCTATGCTAGCCGAACTGTGACCCTCAACTCTACCCAGGAGCTGGACTTCCACTTGCCAAGCTGTAAGGAGGCATCCCAGTCCACTCACTGGTAGTGTTAGAGAAGATGGATCAGGAGCTGGAGCTTTCATCCACACTGTGTGATAGCAAACTGCACCTCCATCGCATGGTGTCAGTGAAGATCAAGTAAGAAGCTGGACTTCCAGGAATAAAGAAGCATCTCTCCAACCACCCACTGGAGGATTGTCAGAATCAGGACTTTCACCATCACCCAGTGGTAAAAAGACACTGCAGTGTCAGTGGGGGGGACCAAACGGGGAGCAGGGACTCTCACTCCCACCTAGCAGGAACAAGGAGTCACAATCCCTACCGTGGGTGTTAGTGGAGACTGAGTGGGGAACCTGGACTCCTACCTCTACCTGCCATTACTTCCTGTTCCTATGCCACAGTGGTATCAGAGAAAGCCAGCTAAACCAGACATTAGGTAAGATCCAGTGCCTTATAACATACAAAGTGTCCAGGATTCAACAGAAAATCATTCATCATACCAAGAACCAAGAATTTATCAAACTGAATGAAAAAAGGTAATAAGTAGAAGCCACCACTGAGCTGACAGAGATGTCAGAATTATCTTACAAGGGTTTTAAGCAGCCATGATAAAAATGATTTAACAGGTAGTTATGAACACACTAGAAATCAAAGAAAAATACAGAAAGCCTTCAACAAAAAAATAGAAGATTAAAAAAAGCAAATGGAAATTTCAGAAATGAAAAATACAGCAACAGAAATCAGAAGCTCTATGGATGAGCCATAGAGAAGAATGAGATGACAGGGGAATCAGTGAACATGAAGATAGAACAATAGAAATTACCTACTCTAAACAACAAAGAGAAAACAGACTGGGGGAAAAAAGCAAGAGCCTCAGTGTCCTGTGGGACTCTAACAAAAGACCTAACACACATGTCATCAAAGTCCCAGGAGAGGAGTGAGAAGGCTGGAAATGAAAAGGTATTATAAGAAATGGAGGCTGAAAAGTTCCCACATTTGGCAAAAGATCTGATTTTATAAATTTGAGGAGCTGAGCAAAACCCCAAAGAGGGGGGAACCCGTGCCAAAACACAACTTAATTAAACTTCTGAAAACTAAAGACAGAAAAAATCTCGAAAGCAGTGAAAAAAAGCAACACCTTACCTATATAGAAGAAAAACAATTTGGATAACAGTGGACTTCACTTCGAAAACTATGGAAGCCAGAAAAGTAGAACAATAACTTTCAAGTGCTGAAAGAGAAGGAAATTTCCCCCCAGAATCCTCTACCCAGTGAAAATGTCCCTCAGGAATGAAGGCGCAATCAAGACATTCTCAGGTGAAGCAAAACTAAGAGAATTTGTTGTCAGTAGACTTACCTGAAAAGAATTACTAAAGGAAGTTCTCTAAACAAAAAGGAAATCATTTTTTAAAAAAGGAATGTCAAGAAAGAAGAAAAAAACATGGTTTTCAAAAATATAGGTAAATACAACCGATTTTCCTTCTTGAGTTTTCTAAATTATGTGAGTTGAAATAATCATAACACTGTCTCTGATGTGGTTCTAAATGCAGAAGAAATATTTAATTACATGATAACTAGGGGAGAATAAAGGGAGGTAGGAGGTAAAATGATACCACCAGGAGACTACAAGTTAGATATAGATAAAGCAAACCCAGAGCAACCACTAACAAAAACTACATAAAGAGATACACTAAGAAAAATCATAAAAAAGCAAAAAAGAGTTCTAAGAAATATTCAAGTAACCCACAGAAAGGCAGGGATAGGAAAACAAATGTAAAAGAGAGAACAGAAACAAAGCATAAAATGGCAGACTTAAATCCTAACTTACCAATAATCATAACATCCCCAAACTGGAAACAGCCCAGATGTCCTTTAACGGATGAATGGTTAAACAGACTGTGTTCTAACACAGTCTATTATTGCTAAGTAGTATTTTAACATGTTAAAATACTACTTAGCAATAAAGAGTAACAAATTATTAATACACACAATGAATCTCCAGAGAATTATGCTGGGTGAAAATGCCAATCTCAAAAGGTTACATACTGTTTAATTCAATATATTTAATATTCTTGAGAAGACAAAATTACCAAAATGGAGAATGGATTAGTGGTTGCCTGGAGTTAAGGAAGAGGCAGAGGCATGAGGGAAGTAGATGTGGCTATAAAAGAGAAACATGAATGGATGTTGTAGTGATAGGAATGTTTTGTATCCTGATTGCTACCAATGTCAATATACTGGTTAAAGTACTGAACGATACATTGCTATCACTGGGGAAACTGGATAAGGGTACTGGGATATCTCTGTGTAGCATGTGAACCTACAATTACCTCAAAATAAAAAGTTTAACTTGAAAAGAGGCAAAGTAAAGACATCTCAGATGAAGAATAAAAAGCAAATAAATAAAATAAGAACTAAAAAAAGAATTCATCAACAGCAAGAAAAGTTAAAGGAAGTCCTTCAGGCCTAAGGAAAAATACCAAACGGAAATCTGGTTCTACACAATCGAATTAGAAGCAGTGGAAGTGGAAAACAAGTAGGTAACATAAATTTTTTCCAAAAAGTCTTAAACCATTTAAAGCAAAACTTTTAAAATTTATTTAAAGAAAAATAACACAATATATTATGTGGTTATAACAGATAAGAATAAAATGTATTACAACAATAGTTATAAATGTCTGGATACAGAAGATTAAAGTATATTGTCATAAAATTCTTATACTCCACAATAAATGGAATATTGTTTGAAGGCAAACTGTGGTAAATTAAAGATGTATGCTAAACCCTAAAGCAACCACTAAAAAATAAATAAAAAGTATAAAAAATATGCCAATACAGAGATTAAATAACATTATTCATTCCAAAAGAAGACAGAAAAAGATGAAAAAGGGAACAAAGAATAAATGG